ATTTCCTTTTATTTTAGTTGTACAAGTGTTCATCATCTGGAATATTTGACTTTATATAATTGAACCCATCCTTGTCACTAATATCTCCTTCCACAGTGGAAATAAACAGTCTTTCTTTCTTTCTAAAGTTTGTATGGGAATGTCTAAAATGTTTAACTGTAGAGCTCATCTGAATTTTTTTGCAGCATGTAAAATCAAGAGGTTCATTAAGAAAAATAAAGATTTAGAATTTTTTAAACAACTAATTTGGGTTCAGCAGCACTAGCTGCTACCTTCTCAAGACTCATGGTCCTCTACTAGAGTGAAAGCAGGTACTTTGTCTATTTCCCTTTGTCTTCCCCCACAACATTCAGCAAAGTACCTTGCATATAGGATTAAGTGTTATCATATCTTAATTTAATTTATGTATTTTTCATACCAATATCAAATTGTTCCAACAGTATTTACTGTTTTTATTTATTTATTTATTTATTTATTTATTTATTTATTTATTTATCTATTTATTTTTGGTACAGGGAATTGAACCCAGAGGCACTTTACTACTGAGCCACATCCCCAGCACTTTTTATATTTTTATTTTGAGACAGGGTCTCACTAAGTTATGTAGGACTTCGTTGAGTTGCTGAGGCTGGCCTTAAGCTTGCAATCCTCCTGCCTCAACCTCCCAGGTCGCTGGGATTATAGGTGTGCACCACCAAGCCCAGCCCAACAGTTTTTATTACATAATAACTTTTTTCCAATTATTTATTTGGTTGCTTAAAATTGGTCATGTATCAGTGACACTTAGATTTTTTCCCCAATGGCAAAACACCTAGAAGTTGCAGCACTCCTTGCAGAATGTCGTGCCATGGAGATATTGAACTTAAAAAAAATTAAAATCCAGTGCTAAACTAGGCAATCAGTTTTGCCAGATTCTAGTATAGTGTAGATGCCATATGATCACAACAGTTCTTTTTAATGTATGTGAGATGTCTTAGAATTGATAAAATTCTAGCCAATAACTTAATTCCTTCCAACAATCAGGAGAATACCAGCCCATGGGAAGAGTAAAGTCATCCAGAGCAAAAGTCGAGAACCACATCTTATATTAAACTTTGCCACTTGAAAGAATATAAATAAAAGCCTCTGATCAAGTGTAAACATTATATAAAGTCCAGCTGAACTGGGCTGAACTCCAGCTGAACCCAAAAACTATTTTAGATCAGTCTTTTGAATTGCCATGTATAGAATTCCAGCAATATTGGAAGGTCTAAGAAAGAGCAGATGTCAGACCTCTAGTGCCTGTTCACACCAGCAACCTGACCTCTGGAGACTTCTGTTCATTAATCTATAAATCAGAAAGGAGACGACACAAGGGTTCTCACACCTACCCCCACACTACCACCCTTCAGAATATGAATGCTGCAAAGCTAACAGGAAGTAGGTGTGTTGGAACCATTAAAAGGAACCCATGTTAGTTCTGACAAAGACTTCAACAGACCAGGCTCTGTACCGTGTTCCTGAAGACAGGATTGTTTGTGAAAGCTGTGGAAACTCTGGGAAAGCAAGGGGGTTTGCTATGTTAATTAATGTGTTTTCATGAAGCTTCTGTTTCGACTTTTGGCTTTAAAAGTTTCTTGTAAGACAATATGCTGAGGTTAAACACACACACATACACACACACACACACACACGATGTGTAAGAGATCTAGGGTTGGGTCTTCACCTTGCCACTTGATCTAAAATGAGTCATTCAACATTTATGGACCTCAGTCTTTCTGTTGAAAAAAAAATGAGTAGTCAAATGAACAACTTTTAAAATCTGTAGTCTTTTCCAAACACAGATATGTTCAAATTCAAGAAAATCGAGGATTAATATTGTCCAAATATATATACAATTATGTATATTATATATAATTGTATATTCATTATACACACACATGTATACAATTCAAGAAAAATCAAGACACAAAACTTTATACTAACCAGGCATGGTGGTGCATGTCTGTAATCCCAGTGGTTTGGGAGCCTGAGGCAGGAGGATCACAAGTTCAAAGCCTACCTCAGCAACAGCAAGGTGCTAAGCAACTCAATGAGACCCTGTCTCTAAATAAAATACAAAATAAGGCTGGGGATGTGGCTCAGGCTCAGTGATTGAGTACCTCTGAGTTTAATCCCCATAACCCCTCCCCCAAAAAAAAACTTCAAACACTTAGAAAACAGATAATTTGCTATTTTCTATGGTCCTTGCCTAATAGCTCTCTATTTTAAAACTTCCCCCAAATATGAAAACAATGCTACAGGACAGTGGAATGTGCAATGATTTTTTGAATAAAACCCTAGGAAGAAAAAAAAAAAGCAAAAATAGACAAATGAGATTAAGCAAACTAAAAAGCTACAGTTCAGCAAAGGAAACAATCAGCCAAGCAAAGATACCACCTACAGAATGGGAAAAAATATTTGCAAACTATACATCTGACAAGGGGTTAGTGTCGGAAATATGTAAGGAACTTAAAACACTCAATAGCAAAAAAAAACAAAACAAAACAAAAAAAAAAACTCACAACCCAATTTTAAAATGGGCAATAGACTTAAATAGACATTTCTCAAAAGAAGATATAGAAAAGGTCACCAGGTATATAAAAAACTAAATCAACATTACCAATAATAAGAGAAATGCAAATTAAACCACAATGAGATATTACTTCATTCAAGTAAGAATGGTTATTCTTTGAGATTTTTGTTATGTTTTGGTTTTGGTTTTGGTTTTGGTTTTGGTTTTTTTGGCAATACTGAGATTGAGCCCAGGGGTGCTCTAACACTGAGTACACATCCACAGCCCTTTTTATTTTATTTTATTTTATTTTTAAGCAGGGTCTCTCTAAGTTGCTGAAGCTGATCTTGAACTTGTGATCCTCCTGCTTCAGCCTCCCCAAACTTTGGGATTACAAGCATGTGTTTCTGCCCTGCCAAGAATGGCTGTTCCTAAAAAGACAAAAGATAACAAGTGCTGTTGAGGATGTGGAAAGAAAGAAACACTTGTACATTATTTGTAGGAATATAAATTAATGTGGTCATTTTGGAAAACAGTATAGAGGTTCCTCAAAAAATTAAAAATAGAACTACCATGTGATTCAGTAATCTTATTATTTACCCAAAAGAAATGAAATGAATATGTTGAAGAGACATCTACCCTCCCATGTTCATGGTAACACTATTCATTAAGCCAAGAAATGGAAACAACCTGAGCATCTTACCAACTGAAGATTAGATAAAGAAGATGTGGAGGCCCGGTGCCAGGGCTCATTATTATAATCCCAGCAACTCAGGAGGCCGAGGCAGGAGGATTGCAAACTCAAGATCAGAGAACAACTTAGACCCTGTCTCAAAATTAAAAAGGGTTGCAGATGTAGCTCAGTGGTAGAGCAGTTACCTAGTATGTGAAAGGCCCTTTGTTCAATCTCCAAGAAAAGAAGGGATGAAAGGAAGAGGAAGGAGTGGTACATAGTCACCATGGAATACTATTAATCCATAACAAAAAATGAAATTCTGTCATTTGCAACAACACAGATGCAACTGGAGATAATTGTGCTAAATGAAATAAGTCAGGATGAGAAAGACAGGTACAGCATGATCTCACTCATATGCAGAATATAAAAAGTTGATTTCATGGAAGCTGAGAGTAGAATCCTGGTTACCAGAGGCTGGGAAGAGTAGCAGGGGTCAAAGATGGTAAAAGGTTGATCAATGGGTACTGAGTTATAGTTAGGGGTAAGAAGTTCTGATTTGCCATCCCACAGTTGGAAGACTATAGGTAACAGTAATCTACTGTACATTTCATAAAGCTAGAAGAAACAAAGTTGACTCTTTACACCATAAAGAAAAAGAAATGATAAATGAAGAGATAGATATGTTTAACCAGATGGAAACATTACATGGTGTATATGCAAGTACAGAAACAGCCCATGGTACCCCATTAATATGTAAATTTTAATGGTGTTTTTTTTTTTTTGTAACTATTAAAAATAAATTTAAATTCCAAAACAGAGTATGTAAAATGTACAGGGAAAAGAATCCCCCAGAATTTCCTTCAGTAATGAAAATCTCTATTGAAGCTTAAAAGAAGATTCAAAATTCAGATCACTGACTCTTTTTGATGAACAATTAGTTCATCATAAACACCCTGTTCAGGAAACACTCTCTTCCTCACAGCGCTGGGACGCCCGCAGACAGTGTTCTGTGACGGTATCTGTGAGTGTGAGTGTTGGCGAGCAGTTAGAACTGCTGGATCTGGATTCAGATATACGACCAAAAGGGCAGCAGAGTCCACAAAAATCATTCCCTTGGGAGGGGAATGAATCAGAAATTCATCTGACACGTGGTTTCCTAATCTCCAGTGCACTCTTGGTCCAGGGTTCTTAAATCAAGACTAACAGGGAGAGGCTGCTCCATGACATGGGATCACCCTCCTTCCCCTCCTAGACACATTCTACAGAAACTGCATGGATCAGTGGTAGTGTTCAAAGCACTTTGGTAAATACTAGCTCAAGCTATTTTCCCCCAAAGTGTATCCCACCAAAAGATTTGCTTCTCATCTTCCCAAGAGTATGTGTGCTCCAGATGTCTTTGAACTCTCACTGTAGGATGTGGTGCAAACAATCCCAGATTGCCTTGGTCATCCTAATGGAGTTATTGCACCGAAGGTGCTCTCCTTGGCAGAGGCTGACCACCAACCTCTCCCTCACCAGTAAGGACACACCAATTTGCTTTCTGTCACGCCAGACTGCTGATTCAGATCAGAAATATGAAGGCAAAGTTACAGACCGCAGCCAGTGTTTACACTTAGCGATTCCTGAGCGTGTGCTTTTCAGATGACATTTCTCCTGTTGCTGCAAAGCTCCCCGCGCCCATTAAAACAGGTCACAGCTCCTCCTGAGTGCATTTGTGTGAAAAGCCATTTTTCACTTAATTCCCCCCACACCTGGGACGGCTTACAGTCAAGTGTTGCTGTCTGGTTGCAGGTTCAGAAGATGGTCTTGCACAGAAGCAGCGAACACCTCGCCGACGCTGTCAGCAGCCCAAAATGTTGAGTAGCCCTGAGGACACCATGTACTATAACCAGTTAAATGTGAGTTCAAAGTGGCCATAAAGCTGCTTCGCTGGCTTTGTTTCCAGTTAATAATTCTGTTATTAATACCTGTTCCAGCCCCTCCAGCCCCACCCCCACTCTCTTATGCTCTCCTCGTGAACATGTGCTTAGGCTCTTTATCTGTTGCTTTCATGTCAGGATGTCTGCCTTCACGGTGAATAATTGATGTGGTTTATCAAAGACGAGCAAGATGCATGCTTCATCAGGCTCACTTGAGCCCTTTGATCAAAAAAATTATGCTGTGACTTCTGATATTATCAGCATCTGCTTGCATTCAACACAAAATCACTTTGAATTAAAAATTAACGACTTGCTGCTTTGCTTTGACTGTGTGTTCTTGGCCCTCTCCACAGGGAACTCTAGAATATCAAGGGAGCAAGAGGAAGCCAAGAAAACTTGGGTAAATATCTGTCTTCTTAGTTCTAAGCAACTGTAAACAGAAGGGGTCCTTTGTGATATTACAGAAAAGGCAAAACTTTCCAGAGAGGCTTCTAAAAATATTCAATCCGGATATTGCCACTGTTATTGACATTGGAAACGACTTTTCACAGTAGCAAGTATACAAAACTTGCATCTATTTTGTCCGGAAAGGCTGAGATTGTCACCTAAGGGCAAATGTTATTTCTCCTAATTATTCTAGGGAATTGTACTTTCTTCATAATTGAAGACAGGTAGCGGGTTGTATTAAATTCTCTTTCCACAAATAAGAGGATTCTTCTGAGTGCAAATGGGCTGCTTCCTGCTCGCATTATCCTACCCTGGGCCTTAAAACATGCACAAAAGAAAATTTCCCCCAATGGAGAAAGAGAGGACAGTAAGAAGTTAGCTTGTAGCTCATCTGTTGTTAGCATCTCTACTGAGAATAGCAGGGAAGTAGATAATCGGTACTGTATTGAGAACTGGGGGAGATCAGGAGGAGAATTTTTTATCTAGAGGAAACCAGATGGAGACAGGCAATTTAATTACACAAATCAAGTTTCAAGGTGATCACAACTTCTAGATTCTACTAAAATGGACCCCTTGTCAGTATGTGACCCAGAGACGGAACCCCCAACCTCTGTGCTGTGAGACCTTGTGACACCTAAGTGCCCTCCCCTCCAGGATTGGAACCCAATCCCATTCCAACTTCTCACATAACTTTGCTGCCTCTGGGAAGACTATGCCATTTGTTTGCTTTTTCTGATGAAAAATCCTCTTCATTTCTTTGTTGCAGCCATCTCAAAGTGCTGGATGGGGAAGACGAATACTACAAGTCTCTGTCCCCAGTGGCTGGTATCCCTGAGAATATCGCAGCCCACCTTTTCTTTTTTTCTTCATCCTCAAAGGGAAATTCTTTTGCTCAACACTGAGTTGCACTTCCTGGCCCCAAATCTGCCCAAGGTAAAAAGAGTCGATAATTTATTGTTACTGAACATGAAGGCTTCTTTGGATGCACTGTCTGTGCTGAGCCTCGCTGAACCATTCACATTCCTAAATATCTTCTTCTGTCTTTATTGTTCTCTCACATCTGTTGTGCAGCCTGAGCTGGGCAGTCCCTCCTTTTCTCATCCCATGGGTCCCTGTGGGATGCTGTGAACTCTTGCACCACAGTAATGACAGTTCATGTCCCCAGCATCTAAGAAGGTAGCAAAGTCTTAAAGTAGGCCGATCATGCAGATAAGCTGCCTTTGATTTCCCACCAAGTCACCTTTCAATCCATGTAGAATCCGCCCCTATAGAGGTCTAGGAGTCCCCTTCCTGCTCCTGTCTCTACCCGCCGCCCCCACGGGGCTTTTCCACTCCTCCTGCCTCCCCTGGGGTCAGGGCTCCACTTCTGAGGGCCCCACATCCTGGAGGAGTTCCCTGAGGTCTCCTAGCACAGAATAATTTTCTGTGTTTCAGCACAAAGGCCTAAATCAGATTCTTTCTACAAGGTAAATGAACACCTCTCTTGCTAATTGTTATGCTGAAAAGCCTTCACTCTCAATGAAGGCTTCAATGCCAAGACACCTCCATCACTCAAATAGTGAAAAGGAAAGAAAACTTAGACCTGTCCAAGTCTGGGGCACATCTTTTTGTAACTCCACTCACTGGTCAGCTGTCTCCACTTGGCTGGAGTGGCTGCGGGGAGAGGGATCTTGTCCATCTTTGTGGGCATAGGAACCCAGCACAGTGTCTGGAAGAATAGACACCAGTGCATACAGAATAGATGGAGAGACTTCATTTGGTCACACAAACACATCTGACAGAACAGTTACTTTCAATTATATGGTATATGTGATTGATCAGTCTTACATCATAAGCTGTTCTTTTCACTCAAGGTTGAGCTAGTCCTATTATAATGATATCATATGATATATTCTAATACTTAATATGATTCAGTATGACATGCTTTTTTGACCTCCTCTATGTGAAATAATATATAAGATTGTTGTGTGATTTTAAAAAAAAACAAAAACAAAAAAAACCTATAGGATCCTTTCTCAGAATAGAGGTTCTTAGCTCTAAAATACTTAGCAGATAGTATGCATTGGGGTATCTAGATTTTGAGGGGAAAAAAAGAAACCCTGAAATATATAGAAAAATTATTATCAGAGTTTTTAAAGAGAGGGTATTAATAAACATTTTATGAACAGAAATAGTGAAATGCCTTTTAAAGATCTCAGAAATTATAGTTTTAAAAGGAAAAGAAGTTATAGTCAATTTTTCTTTTTTTTTTAAAGAGAGAGTGAGAGAGGAGAGAGAGAGAGAGAGAAAATTTTAATATTTATTTTTTAGTTATCTGCGGATACAACATCTTTGTTTTGTATGTGGTGCTGAGGATCGAACCCAGGCCGCACGCATGCCAGGCGAGCGCGCTACCACTTGAGCCACATCCCCAGCCCTATAGTCAATTTTTCAATAGCTAAATTTTACATTTAAAAGATGAATCTTGGATTTTTTTCAGCTCTTCACTCAAAAGGCAATGTTTATAAGAAACAAAACTACCTTTATTTCATTGTTTAAGAAATAATACCTCAGGCAGGGTAATAAATGAATGCTTTTAGAAATTTCACTTTTAGCATTGATTAGTCTATTTGTGGGGGGCACTGGGGATTGAACTCAGGGCACTTAACCACTGAGCCACAGCCCCAGGCTCCTCCCCTGCCCCTTCATTTTTTTGTATTTTATTTAGAGATAGGGTCTCACCAAGTTGCTTAGGGCCTCACTAAATTGGTGAGGCTGACTTTGAACTTGCAATCCTCCTGCCTCAGCCTCCCAAGCCACTGGGATTAAGTGTGTACCACCATACCTGGTGACTGATTAGTCTACTTTCAATTTGATAAAATTAGTTGTTTTTCAGATGTTCATAACTTTCCACTTGTCCGTGTACAATGTAACTGTAAACCTGCTTGTTTCTAATTAAAATGTCTCTATAGGGCTGGGGATGTGGCTCAAGCGGTAGCACGCTTGCCTGGCATGCGTGCGGCCCAGGTTCAATCCTCAGCACCACATACGAAGATGTTGTGTCCGCTGATAACTAAAAAATAAAATATTAAAATTCTCTCTCTCTCTTAAAAAAAAAGTAAGGTTTTAAAAAAAATTAAATAAATAAAATGTCTCTATAAATAAAGTTAAGAAGAAAGTAATTATAAGAAAAGAAAGTAATTGTAAAATCATAATTGAGAAGCTCTGTAATAATTAAGCAGTGATACAGCTATAATTCCTGTAAGTAATTTGGAAACAGTGGTCACTATCGGCTGCAGCACAGATAAGACAAGACTGTAGACATTATTCTTGGGTTATTCATAATGCCACAAACTCAAAAAGCAATTCCTAATTCAAGTAGATGAGAATAATACATCCTGGAAGCTCATAACTGTCTTACTAGATTTATCAAAGTAATACACACAAAAAGCAAAGGAAATAGTGGAAAGCAGTCTTCTCCACATTCCTCACCAGAAGCCACCATTTTAAAAATCATTTCTAATTCTAATTTTTCTAATGGTTTCCACCATATCTCTAAATGCAGTTATGTGCCATGTAATGACATTTTGGTCAACAGTGAACTGTGCACACCCCTGTGGAACAATAGGCTATACCATAGCGCCTGGGTGTGCAGTAGGCTAGACCATCTAGGTTTGTATAAACACACTCAATGACATTCACACAACAAAATCAACTTATGACACATTTCTAAGAATATATCCCATTGTTAAATGACATGCAACTGTAATTTGCTTCTACTTGCTTGTTTCATCATTTAAATAACATTAATTCTCCCTCTATGAATAATATAGATTTTATTTCAGCTCCCCACCTTATTTCCCCCAGTATTAATAATTTTACATTGTTTTTTACTTTGACCTTGTAAACTTTAACTATATAATTAAAATTTACTTTTCTGAACTGTCAACTTTCAATGGTATCTCTGTGAGGATACCAAACATGAAGAAAGTCAGCAGGCTGCAAGACCACGTCAGGTCACACAAATAATTCTGGACATAGAACATTTTTTAAAAGCTTCACTACAGACCCTTTGCTGCTCATGTTCTGAGCCACTCTTTTGTCCGTTTGGCTCATCTGTAGATACACTTCCATCCAAGTTTCTTTTAAAATATAATAAATATACCAAAAAAAGGATGGGGGGCACAAATCCTAAGATTTGGCTCCATGAATTATTACAGAGTGAGCATCTGTGTAACAGCCCCTCCAGTCTAGAATAGACCACTCTGATCACGCTAGAAGTCTCCCTGCTGATTTTTCCCAAACATTATTCCCACACCTCCCTCAAGGCAACCATTCTCCTGGCTTTAAGTGTAAACACTTCCTTGATTTTCACATGTACATGCAGCTCTAAACACTATTTAGGTTTTGCCTCTTATGTTAGGTTTTCTGGACTTTAGACAAATGAAATCATGCAGTGAGAGATTTTGTTAGTTCTTCTTTCTTTCATTCCACGTACTATTGGTGAAGTTCATCTATGTTGTGAAATGTAAACGTATGGACTCACTCATTTTCTTGACTATGTAGTGTTCTAGGCTATGAATATGAAAATTGATTTAGCTATTCGGCTTTTTTAAATAATTTTACCTCTTTTTCTTTGGTTTTTAATGCAGATCTCTGCAGTACAGCATAATTTTTCTTTTTCTTTATTTTTATTTTGTTCTCTTTTTAATTAGCTATTCTGCTTTTAATAAGGAATTGGTTCCAATTTGGGGCTATTTTGGAAATTACTTCCATAAGCATTATGTTTGTCTCTTAGTATTGGCATGGTTTTCTGTTGGCTATATACGTGGAATTAGAATTGCAGAATATAAGGTATATGTTTCCCTACTTCAGTAGATAATGTCAAACTGTGTTCCAAAGTAACCCCACCAATGTATAATCCCACCAGTTCTGTAAGAGTCCAATCACTGATCCACATTCTCCCCAATTCTTCCTATGACAAGTCCTTTTTATCAAAGCACTCCGATGAGTATTTAGTCAAATCTCACTGATTCTAGCTTACATATCCCTCATTAAGAGTGATATTGAGGGCATTTCATGGCCAGTTCAGATTACTTCTTTTGTCACATGTCTATTTTTAATTGGATTGACAATTTTTTTCTTTTAATTAGAAGCAAGTATTTTATATTCTCAGTTATGCATATTGAAAATATTGTCTCTATTAGATAGACTGCCCTTTCAGTTTCTATAAAAGTGTCTTGATTTTAAAAAAAAGTGTGTGTGATTTTAAAATAATGCAATTTATCAATCATCTCCTTTTTGATTAGTGCTTTTTTTATGGCTAGTTAAGAAATCTTACTCTACCCCAACATCACAAAGATATTTTCCATTTCCAGAAGATCCTAAAGGAAAATATCTTTGGGATCTTCAACTTACCCAGACTGGTTTTGTGAATGGTGTGCAGTAAGGGTCCATTTTCATATTTTTTTATATTCAACTATTCAGCCCCATTTAATGAGATTAATGTGATTCTATTCTACTGTTCTAAAATTCCATCATTATATAAATCAAGTGTTCATTCTCAATTCTCTATTTTATTCTGTTCTCAATTTAGTCTGTTCTCAATTCTCCATTTTATTCCACTGATTTCTTTTTTTATCCTTGACTTAATTGCTATGCCCTTGTAATATAAGCCTCAGAATATGGCACAGCAAGTGCCCCATCATTTTTGTTTTTGTTTTCTTCTCTAAGAAAGAGATTTTAAATATTATAGAATCAAATAATGAAAAAAAAAAGCTGTTGGAATTTCTTTGGTATTATCTTTCCAGTAATGCCTGGAAAGTCCATGAATGTGGTATATCCTTCCATTTGTTTACTCCTTCTCTTCTCCCAAAAATGATTTATAAATTGAAGAGATTCTGTTAGTTTCATTCCATGTACC